AAAATCACCGTGACATTGAAACAAAAGCTGTGTGTGTGTGTGTGTGTGTGTGAGTTGGTGCGGTGTGGTGTGTGTGTGGTGGTCTGTGTGTTGTGTGGGTAAAATAATATAATTTCGTGTTAATTCTAATTGTTTCTTTTAACTTTAAAATTCATATTTAATTTAATTCACAGGAAAAGAAAAGAAAATCAAGAAAAGAAAACTACGAAGACGAGTCAGGGGCTGACTGTTTTTGTCCTACAATGTAGGCGCAAGAACAGGGGTGAGTTTACAGAAACCTTGGCCATTTCCCCATTCTGCAAATTCTGCAAATTTCTGGAACATGTTGGCGTAGGTCTTCTTGTCCTTCTCATGATGTTCCTTAATCTTGCTCTGGCAGATGGAAATCTGAGCTTGAGCTGCTCGATTTGAGGGGTTGACTTGCAGCACTTTCTGAAAGTCTGCCATGGCCATGCTGAACTCGTTACGACGGAGACGTGCTTCCCCGCGACGATACAAAGCCTTCTCGTTGCTCTCATCGAGCTCTATCACCTAATACACACACACAAACACACACAGTCATTACCAAAGAGAGACAATGCAGGGACATCAAATGGTGTTTGAATATGGACTATCATCAGGGTCTTGCAGCTAACCTTGTTGCAGTTCTCCACTACTTGTGTGAAGTCTTTTGTCCGCAGGAAACACAGCGCTAAATTGAGGTGTGACGTCAAGAGAAAGTCCTGTATCTTCTTCTGCTGCTCTATCCCAGTACCACACTCCATTTCTAGCCAGGAAACGATGCGCTGGTACTGGATGATTGCCTGGTAGTGCCGGCCTGCCTAATACAGGAAGATAATACCATTTTATGGACATTTTCCCATTAAAAAATTATTTGTTAAGATAAAAGATCAGCATAGGGACTGTACCTTAAAATATTGATTCCCTTTACGCTTAACTTCAAGAGACATTTCCAGCTTTTCATTCAAGTCCATTTCCCAGGATTCTTTAGCCTTGTGGAAACACAGTTAATGCCACAGAAAGTGAGTAAAAATAGTTTTTTTCTATTTCAGGTAGTCAGCTGAAATGATCTACATACCTATGTAGAACTTTGCTCAAAATTAATTTGACTGTCTTAAATAAAAAAAGACCAAAACCACAGTCATGACCACTTAAACTGTTTCTTTCTTTGGATATAAAAAGTAAAAAACAGGGCTCACCCTTTGAAAGTCTTTGAGGGTAACTTCGTATACTATGTCTTTGTCTGGTCCAACTTTGTACTCCGGTTTACCTTCGCTTCCAAAGCCATACCTGTGAAAAAAAGAAAAAACATGAGCCTCTTTATAATACTGTTCAGAAGAACAATGATAAACAAAAAATAACCTTGGAACAACCCCCATTTCTACATGTCAAACAGCCAAACTAGATACAAAGATGGTATCAACTGTTGAAAGTCAGCTCAAGCCATTTGACATTTAAACTACGGGGTGGGAAATTCCATTTGTTTAAATTTAAAACCTCACACTGGTGAAAATTTCACCTGTCGAACGTCTTATTGAAATATTCCAGACTGTGTAAAAGGAAAACTGCTTCTGAGAATGTACAGAAGGTTGGTGAGACATTTTGTGAAAGAAGTACATCAGATAATAGAGCTGTTGGTTTCGATACACCTTCCTTTATAACCTATTTATTATAAAACCATACACTGAGCAGTGTAATATAAAATGTGTGTATTTTGCTAATAAAGTGCTCTTAACTGGATAAAAAACACACATTGGTTTATGTATTAATGAGATGGCAATAAAAAATACATATTTAATTAGATGCATTTCAGGAAATATGGTACAGTTTGTTAAAAGAGATGGATATGAGCAGAAGGGGGTCGTTCTGATTCCTAAGAAGATTAATTCAAGTATACAAACAAATGCAAGCAGGTTCCCCTCTTGTGATAAATGTGAATTTTTGTATTTATTTAAGTTGAAGCATTATGTATATAGTCTTTTCTGTTTATTTTCTTATTTCAGATTTTTCTTTGTGTTAGTTGACTACTTACTGGTATTAACTTTCAGTATGAATTGTTAGTGTGCTACGAATACCTAGTATTTAACACCAGCACTCAGTATTGCTTTTGCCTGAGGACATGAAGGGAAGGGTTGGTGTGGGCGGGGTTAAGGCAGTGATGTGATGTGGTTTGGGCAGTACAATGTGTTCTATTTATTTGTGTGATTCTTCCATATTTCTGTCTATTTTATTTATGTATTTTTTTATTAAGGGAATGATATGATGTGGTTTGGGCTGTACGGTGTGTGTCCTATTAGTTATTTTTGCCTCTTTCTTTGTCTGTTCTGTCTTTTGTCAGAACAGCACATTAATCTGCTTTTTGTGGGATCAAATGAGAGGAAAGTATTAACAATAATAATATGAATTTTTGTGTAGTTTTTTTAGTCTTCATGCACGTCACTCCTCTATGTATCCAGGCATTCATGGGTTTTAAACTTTTAAGTTTTTTGACCAGTAGGGCTACAGTATACCTCTAATGCATAATGAACTAATCAGTACCCTATCCACATTATATCAGGCAAATGTTAGCCTTTCATTAGTACTCAGATTACTGTCAATCTGTCACACTCAAATCAATTGAGAATAGCTGAGGACTCCACTCACCTATATGTACAAAATACGTATATATGAGTAATAGTAGCAGTAACGACATTGACACAGTTTCTTTCCACAGGATATCACTATGGTGAACAGTTAAGCAGTGATATAGCAACAATAACCCCGTAACACTAAAATATCCAACAAATTAGACATTATATGTTTACAGTTTAAATTCCACAAGGTTCTTTTTTTTATAGATTGTACATCACTGTCTTATTCAATATTTATTCTTTTGCACTATTTTTATAGTATATGAAAAACTGACACTGTTTGTTGTTGCTCATTGTTGACTATTATATATATATAGGCCTACCTCACATGTATTTGCATTATAGTTCTATGTTTATTTCGAGTGGATGTTTGTAAATTTGAAAGAAAGAAAGACAGCATATTAAAGGAGCAAAAAGAATGTAATCATCATCTAACAGAAATCCTACATTCTGGACGATTAAATATAAAGTTCCTGGGGACATAATTGTATTTTCTCTTAACGAGTGTAATGACAAACCACAGCAGAGATAATTACCAGAGCTATCCCACATAAAGACTGGCTCACTGTAACTGCACAAGAAAGCAAAATAAATGACAAGGTTCACATTTTAACTTACTTTGGTTTTAAGTAAAGTAGACAGCACTCTCCTTTCTGCATCTTGTCCAACGCTCGGTCCACTCCGTGAGGAACACCTTTATCTTCAGCCTCGCCAACAGTAAAGCTGACGTCCCTACAGTCAAACAATCGACCACCACAGCTTCCCTCTAGGTGCACTGTGGGACATAAATCATGACACAACTGAACTTCTGATGCATCTGTTTCATTTGTTGATTATTTGGCAGACTGGCACAATACAAATAATTATCCATGAAGAAAAAAGAAGGGCTTTACCGTCAACCCTTGCTCCGTCGTTGGGATTCGTGTAACCATCCCCTTTGACCTTTATTCTTCTTAAGATGCCACCATCGTCCGTAAGCATCTCTCCTTCAAACTTGAGTAGCTCCATCTGTTTTGTTAGAAATGTTTATTTAATCATTGTACTACAAAAGCGGTGCTATAAAGCAGAATATAAAACTACAGCTCTGCTTAACTTTGTGTAGGTGTGGGCAGAGAAACACCAATACATAACATAAAACAAGTAGGAGTCAAAACATTAAGTCAGGGAAATAAAAAAAGAAAGAGAAATAATGACTATTAAGAGATACGGTGCAGGTAGACATGTAATCAGAAATACACTTTAGGATCTCCATTAGAATTTAAAATAAAGTTGTGTGGGTTTGAACATAGTTTGGCTGCATTCATAATAAGTATAAACATTTAATAAACGGTTTATAAGATACTATAATGCAATTATAAACAGATTAGAAGACATTTTTAAGTATTTCTTAAGGTACAGTATTTGTATTTATTAAATGTATTTAATACTGCATATACATGCTAAATAGAGGGACTTAAAGGGAAGTAAAATTCAATACCCAATCAAATAATCTGACTATGTTGTTGTGATTATATGATGTTTGGTAACATGTGACATAGTTAGATTATTGTTGCCAATGATACAGGGGGAGTACTGACAGATGAACATCTATGGGGGGTAGAATAATCATTTTTTTGTGTCCATAGGGGGTAACTTGTAAAGCAGAGAAGTTGGCTAAATCTCATCTAATTTTTGCCAAACAAGAATGATTATTATTGATTAAAGAGGAACCAGAAAGCCAACATTGCACCCCCACTGAGCTCTAAACAGACTGGTACAAGTGGTAACTGAACTTCTCTGGCTGTTTGACTGAGAGGGATTAAAATAGACAAAGCAGTTAATTTTATGACTAGAGAGCTCCATCTGCAGAGACTTTCACATGCTCCTAAATTATCAGGGTCCCTCGGTGTGATGCACGACACAAATGGCAGCACCGACAAGGCACACCTACCTCAAACACTACTGGAGAGCTGGGAGGAATTTTGTCTGGATTACCAGCAGCTCCATAAGCATACTCTGGTTTGCACAGTAATGTGCACACCTCACCTCTCTGCATAGACAACACACCAATATCCCAGGCCTTGAGGACTTGTCCTGTGAGTGGATGAAGCAAATTAAAAAAAAACACTATGAGAAAAGATGTTTCTGGTTTATAAAACTGTCTGAAAGATTATGTAGGAATTTACACATTAAGTATAATGATGTGAAGAATATAATAAATAGTTTGACAATTTTGATAATACACTCATTCACTTTCTTCACCAGAGTTAGATTGATACACCTATCCTACCTGTCTGTTAAATATAAAACTAGTCAGCAGTCAGGAGACAATCTGTTTAGCATAAAGAATAAAACAGAAACCTGTTAAGCTTATTGGCGGTAGCTTCACCTTTAATGGACACAAGAGAGGTATAAAGCTAATCTAACTCTCAGCAAATAAGCAATTAAGCATATTTTTCCAACGTATCAAACTATTCCTTGAGGTAAGAGACAACATTAAGGTACCATGAGGTTTGACAGCAACTCATAAATTCACCTACCCTTGCCCACATTGAAGCAAAAAGGCTCTTTGCGATCTCGGCTGCAGTCAAACTTCTTCCCACTGAGCAGCTTCCCAGTGTAGTGGACAGTCACTTTGTCTCCAATCATTGGCCTCTCTTTATCTACCCCCTGACGCTTCACAACCTGCGGACAGGAAAGACAAGCCTTCAGTTCAACTGAAAAATCCTTTCTTTGTGACAGAGAATGTAGATAAGATAAAAGCTGTGTGAGATCCAGAAAGAACAGCCACCATGCCATATGGTGGAACAATGAGTCTAACTCGTGCCTGAACGCCTACAATAAAATGTAAAAATGAAATACCTTAATAACTCCTTGGTCTTTAATGGGTGTTACATCGATGCCCTTCGCAGCAAACACAGCTGTGGCTGGCTGGCCATCCATAGGCAGATCTTGATCAGTGGTCATTTCTGCGTGTGAGCATCACACGGTAACACTGTAGAAATGATGAACACACAAGCCTACATATTAGCAATCTGAGCACCATAAACAACATGTCCTCATGTCTCATGTTTTCACTTTGAGACACACTTGCAGCAAAGAAAATGGCACAAGAATCTAATTTGTGGAGTTGGACTGGAAAATCACAATCTCTGGCAAAAATATCAATACAAGATCTCCATAATAAACCCAGAAAATGTTACTGTTTTCCTCCACATTACTTACGTTGTGTCTATTTAAAGGCACATGTTCTAAATCCATATATTGTGCTGGATATGTATTAGGAGATGTATGTAGTTTTACTACAAAAGACACATTAACACTGACCCCAGCTGTATGAAGAAGATTACAGTTGTAATATCACTCAACTGTACCGCTTCTTGTCTGATCCACCACAGATTAAGTAATTACATGACTATAAATATGTTAAAGGCAACAGCGTGTTGCTCAGTCATTTTATTTTGTAACACGCACTGCACTCACCAAAGTACAGTACGTTCCAGGCTATTAGTTTATGGCCCCCTTTGTGCTCTTTGTCGGTCTATAAATAACATCCACATGTCTTACGGAAACCACAATTAAATCTGCAGTACGACAGAACCTCATTTAGATATTTTCACTGTTAATTTTGTAATGAGTATTTTGGTCTTCTTCCTCATATGCACAGGAAAAGTGTGGGCTCGACAACGCTCACACACAATGTACTGATAACGCTGTGCCATCGCAAGTAACAGTCATCTCTCTCAGTGTTTGTGATAGGGCAGGTAAAATTCCTGAATCTGATCACGACTGTTCAACTCAGAAGTGATACACTGATACAGTATCTTATCAGAGTATGAGGCTACGTATTGTCTGGTTAACACATCGTGATATATCTGAAATTGTGTCTCTTCTGGGTTTTCCAGGCTCTGTCACTGTTAAGTAATAGGTTTTTTTTAACAGTTTTTGACCTCTACTTTCATTGCCTGTCAAAAACATTTTTCATATTTTGTTTTCTTGCATTTCTTTTATTTTCTCACAGAAATGTTATTAAACCAATCAGACTAAGAGTTATTTTACTCTTTTTTTCAAAACAAAGCAATCATAAAATAACTTTACATCCTAATGGAGCATATAGATAGATAGATAGATGCTGTCTCATATCTCCATGTGGTAAAAAGATACAGGCAGCTTTGCCAGGGCAATAAAACTGTAATGACCTGTTGGTGTTCCAGCTGCTAAATGTTGCCTCTCTCATCAGGAGCAACCGTCGTCGACAAGCATTGTTACTACCTCAACCTCAACATGGCTGCAAGCATTTCTCTCAGTCTGCCCTAGCAGAATAATATTGACATTGTTTGAAGACAATGAAAAGGCTAGTTAGCTATGTTAAGCATGTTGGCAAACACTATTTGGCGATTACTATCACATGAAACAGCTGAGACATTAGCACTTGCCCGAATAGCAACCGGCTCACAGCTGTTCCTGGACTGCATTGGGATGTTACTAATGCGGCCAGAGTTGTGAAGTAACGGTTATAAATGAAAATGTAACATCTACGATGAAAAAACAGATGACTGACACAAGTGTTTTTTTGTGTTTGCTTGTGTCGTCTGTGTTTATAAGTATATAATAAAGTATATTTTATAAAGTAAGAAAGTATATAAATAAAGATAAGACGTAATCTCAGTGAGTCAAAACTCTCGCCTGAAAAATTTTATCACATCACACCTTAGTGTAGCTCTCGCCCATCATTTGACCCCCCACACTGGATGTCATGTAGCATTAGGATAAGACGAGGTTATAAATCATATTTAACTTGCCAATCTGAGTAAAGTTGTGTTCATATTTACTGCAGGGTGCTGATCAGACAGCACTCTTGTGGACACATATTTCCAGCGAGAGGCTTTAAGGCTATAAACTTTGCTCAAGGGCAGCATGTTTTGAGAGAGGGGGGATGGCAGCTCTCATTCTCTACATCAGTTTTCTCGATTTTTCCACCAGTTGTCCTTTCTTCACTTTCAGGACATCCCAGATGCAGCTGATGACAATATGCAAATATTTGGATATTCACCCGTGGTTCTCGTAAGAAAATTAAGCAACAGAGCTTGGCCTGAGAGGCACTAACTTGGCAATAAGCTCACTATATTGGATATTGATCAAGAAATAGATTTGAACTCGTTTTTTTTAATGTGAGAAAGATCTTAGGAGCAGTCAAGCCGTGGTGCTGAGCCATGGGCTTCTGTTCTGCTTCTTCAGTTCTGTGTCATTTTCAAAGATCAAGTGTTTGTTCACTGAATTCAACACAAGCGCAGCACAAAATGTCCATCTCCTCTGTCGCAACACCTTGTCCTGTGTCTTTTAAATGTCATGGATTTCATTTAGATGTAACTTACGTATGTGAGTGGGTGCATATGTGTGTGTGTGTGTGTCTGAACACAATGTTCCTTCTATTCACAGTTCCCTGCTGGCAAAGCCTGATGGTGTTCACCAATCTGAGACCCCCTCACGTACCACCCAGCTTCAGTTTTTTCATGAAAATAAGCAAATTTTAGATATTCAAATTGACTATCGGTTACATTTACATTTACATTTAAATGTCAATTAATAGCAATAGTGTTATGAATTACCTTCATCAACACATTCACATAATTAAAAGTTATTCATTCCATCAATTTCATTGTTTAACTTTTTGCTTTTCCAGCATGAAAAATTTTATTTTTATGAAAAGCTGAACGGGTAAACCAACTGCAAACAGTGAGCACACAGATAAAATGGCATTTAGACTACATGTACTTTAAAACTCAGATATCCTGCAGAGGAATGCAGGAACAGAAGACAATGAGGCAAAGACCACATCCACAGACGCACACAGTGTCTCTGTACATTCTGTCTCACATCCGTACTCTGCTGCTGATTCATATATGAACGTGTAAGTACACACTGTGCATGACAGACCGGTAGATTTACAACCCAGAAGAACAGCATTGCCTGATATGGGAGACTCGTTTACTCAAACAAAAAAGCTTGTTCATTTGTTTTTAAGGACATTTAAGGACTTTTTGGAAAATCTGCTACAGTGGCCACAGATGTGGTGTAGGTACTTTGAATGTGAAATGACAGTGCAAACATTTGAATTCTGCTATTTTTATAATGTAATGGCAGAGAATGCATCACCCTTCAGTCACATATCTTTGTGTATTTGGACAAAAAGTTATTTATCTTCATTAAATATCCCCCTAAGGCAGTCTGATTCATCTCTGGGACTTTGCCTCAACCCGTGTCCATGTCAGCAGGCCAACTCTGCCTCTATCTCACCTCCTCATCTAAATCTAAATATGATAACAGCCACATATTTGAAGTTATTCAGAGGCTACCATTATGTCCTATAATGCACAACTTGGTCCTAAATGAATATGAATCAGCACAGACTGAACTAGACTTAATGTTACTAATTCTCAGAAACGGGTTAGACAAACCTGTAATTTATGAAGATACACCTAAGCCTAAAGGGATTCTGGATGTAAACTGTTGTCCTCATCTACCTCTACTGGGAACCACAGCCGGGTGCCACATTCACACACACTCTCGCCCATAAAGACACATACACAGGGAGTCTTATCAGCCCTTATTTTCCAGAGCACACTTGGATACAGCTGTAACCTCAAATGCCCCCACATGTGTGGCAAATTCAACATCCATCCTCTTATAATAGGACCTCAACTGGACTTCTTGTTTTTTTTTTTGTTTTTTTTTATATAATCATTAAAGGTTTTTAAAAGACTCGATTTGGTGCGTGCGGGTTATTTAAAACAATCTCTGGATAAAAGGTAAATATATGTATAACAAGTGTCCCTTTAACTCAGCCAGGCGTGAACAGAAAGCACTAGAAAGCCGGTAAACATTACATCTTAATTGACTCCTTAATTAAGTCTTTCAGCTGCAAGACAGATGAAATAAATTAAAAGACTCACATTTCCTTGCGCTCCTTTGTTTTGTTTTTTGTTGTTTGTTTGTTGTTGGGGTTTTTTTTTTTTGGTTCTTTATGTCTTTTCCCAGAAGCGGCCGGCGATCCGATCTGAAATTCAGTCGGTAGATTTTTAAAACCGCGTCTATTCCTCCTAACTCAAGCCCGCCCCTCTCATCTCACATCCAGGGTACTAAATGTTCTGCCCATGCGGTTACTATGTAGCGCTGTTTTTTCCTCCCCTCTCCCCTCCCTCTCCCTCCTCCCCTCTTTATCCCTGTCCCCTCTAGTGACGGTGAACGTGCCGGTGAAGTAGCCACATGGATCTAAGACTTCAAAATGACACCGGGTGAGGGAGAGAGGCAGAGACACACGGCGAGAGAGAAAGGAGAGAGGGGGAGAGAGAGTAGAATGGAGTAGAGTTGTGGGAGGGCCTTTAGTGTAAAATGAAGGGGCAGGTCTTTGGAAAGCAGCCACAAAGTAACACAATGTTCCGGCTGTACTGTAGCTGTACCGCTGCCGCTGCTGACGAGAACACTGTGTTCCAATAGACACCCTGACCTGTAACCCGTTCCGTGCCGAGCCAGTCCGGGAACAGCCTGTACCGCAGCAGGCTGTTCTCTCCGCTCAGCTGACAACACATATCATCAACACTGCTGTGTAATAGCCGAGTACTGACGGGGGATGTGTAAGCACCGAAATAAATAAGCATCACACTGCCCGATAAGACGCGCGGTGAGACGGATTACTGTTTCTGTTAAAGACATCTTTTTTTTTATTATTATTTTATATTTCTTGTTTACCGGATTTTTTTTTTTGTATTCTTTTAAGTACAATCGCTGTAGCGTTTCTGTAACTTATGTGAAGGTAGGGATTTCGCCAAGTAGCACGCATATATGTATATATATATATATATTAGATGATTATTATTATTTCTTTTTACTGCCTGGTGATATTTTGTTTTCTTGTGACTTTTACTGGGTGGAGATCATTCTCATCAAATGTTAACATTACTGTTTACAGGGGTTGAAACAAGTATTCAAATCCTTTATGTTAAAATATTATGACATAAATAGCCTACCACAAGTGCAAGTTATACTTTTTGGACTAAATTAAATGTAAACATACTTAGTGGTAATATATATATATATATACATTTAAGGATTAAAAATCAAATTACTCACCAAAAAGGTTGAAGTAGTGTTGTGTGAAATTATATATGTTCATTTTAGGAAGTATGATAGCTACATGATGTTTTATGAGTTCTTGTTTTGCAAGTCAAATCCTCATCTTCAAAGAAAATAGCACAGCTGTTTTGCAGTAAGTATATCAAAACTTGGTTACCTCCTACCTAAACTGTTACAGTAACCTAATTACGTTCTCCATTTTAGGAGTATTAAGTACAAGTAAATACTAAAGCCTCACCAGACTGCAGGAGGGCTCTCCTAACCTAACAGGGACATTGAGCTTGTTAGTCTTAAAGGCTGGGGTTACTACACAGTCTGTGCAGAGGCAGACAGCGTGATCAGTGGACACAGCCCTGGGCATTATTGTATTACTGTTCTAGGACTCCAACATCATCACCATATCTACAAGCAATTGTGCCTAAAAGTAGACATTTGGTGACTGATATGAAAACAGAATGTGCATTTCATCACAATAAAGAGGCAAGAATAAGTAAAAAAAAATATTTTTTTAGCATTAATCCGTGAAATTTAGTCTTTTTAAAATATTTAACAATTTTGTTTCATCGCATGAACCTAAACTCTGTAACTCTGCTAAAGTTACCAGTTGATGCCCAAAATTCATGACGTTAGCTTTCAGCTAATCTCCACAACATGTTAGTGCAAAATAATTTAAACATTGTAAAATAAATAAAAGCTATTAGCTAAGCTATTGCTTAGAGGTAGTGTTCCAAGACATGACATCAACTTTATTGTATTGTAATTTTCGCGTTTGACACACCGTTTTAATTCGGACGTTAACATCAACCAACGTTGGTGTAAAATCGATGCGCTAACATTAGCTTAACGCATTGGCCGATGGTTAACGTTAGCAATCTGGTGATCTACGGAGGCAAGTGTAATGTAAAGATGTAACTTAAACTATAGAGTTGACAATTGTACGACTTTTCAGTAATTAGGTTATTTAGGTTAGCTATAACTTCATTCGGCAACATATCAACGGCCAGGAAGTGGTACTGGACGGTTATCATATTTTATACTGCTATGTCAAAACTTTTGGCCATAAGAAATGAGCTATGTTTAATTAGGCTACCTGACATGTTATACCCAAAATTAGGTATATTCAAGTACAAGTAAATGCTGACATTAAAAGTAGGATTCTGACTGTGAAGGGTAGTCCCTGTCACAGTAATAAACTTGGTCCAGGTGTAGTTACTGTATGTATAATTACTTCTTGAAAGGTAATACATGGCATTTTATGAGCTCTTGTTTTGCAGTTCAGATCTTAATCTGCAAAAAAAACAGTGCAGCTATTTTTCAGTAAACTTTCCAATAATTTAATCTCGTGTTCACTTCCTACCTAACCTGTAGCCTAATTAGGTTTTCTATCTGATCAGTATCCAGGTGAATACATGAAGTGAAACTACTCACTGTCAAAGCGATGATAAGGTAAAGTTATAAAACCAGATACAGGTGGTGTTGTGTGTAATCATTTCTTGTAATGTTTAAAAGTAATACATCATATTTTATGAGCTCTTGTTATGCAAGTCAAATCTGTAACAAAGTAAATAGACTACCGCTTTTTGCAGCAAAACAATCCACTCTTCTAGTAACCTAACTGGAGTTTCCCATGTGACCAATAAAACAAGCATTACTTTGAAGTATTAAAATATAATTAAATTTCCAAAGTAAAAGCACCTAACTGACATAGTAAGTAGAGTCCCTGTCAGTGTGTCAGATGACAACTTAAAGTTATAAACCTGGGTCAGGTGCCTCAGTTACCTTATGTAATGTTAGAAAGTACAATGCATCACATTTTATGAGCTCTTGTTTTACAAGTTAAAAATTAATCTGCAAAGAAATACTACAGTTATCTGGGTAATGGTATGCTACAATGTAGCATAGCATATATAATTTAATCTCAAATGTAATGGAAATATTCAAGAACCAATATCTCTAAACTTAAATGCAGCAACTGAGTGTTTAATTACATCCCAACTTACACGTTCTCCCATGTGACCAGTTGTAAAAGTTTGTGTTTAACTTGTATTCAGTTTCCTAAAAAGACGACTCCTCCTTTATTGACTTACAGTATAAAGTGCTGTAGTGGCAGCTTTATTATTCTGTAAGAACAGAAAACATTGGACATTTGCCAGGTTTAGATCCACTCAGCAGGTTTAGGACATATTTTAAAATCACCTTTTATGCCCTGAGGGTTGTTTCATTTCAATGCATCTGCTTATTTATATTCTGCTTATTTATTTATTAACTACACTGGCACGTTGTCAGTACATGCCAGTGTAGTTAACACATGGAGTGAAGAATTCAAAAAGACAAAGGAAGGATAGATGAAGACATGAGACAGTGAGTGGAAGGGAGTACAGCAGCTTTGAGTTGTGGGAGTTATTGTCTCAGTTTGAAAAATACAGCAAATATTCAGGATTGACAAAAGATTAGCTTTTAACCATATTCTGTGAACAAATTGTATTTAAAATTACGGAACATTAACATGGTTGGTTGTGATCATGATATGACTATATGTGCATCACAATCTGTAAAAGGTGGTGTATGTCATCTCATCAGGGTTTACTATATATCAGGGACATGTTCAGATGTGATTTTGATAATTGTGCTGTAAGTAAATCCAATAAAATAGCTCTGATTCCCCAAAACTTGTACATGTATTGTATTTAAATACAGACTTTGGACAGCCAGTAATAAGACTTTCTCTGGTGGACCGAATGCAAATGAATTATTAGTATTAGGCTAAAAAAGGGCATGTTTATCTGCTTTTGTGTTTAAAATAACAAGCATTTTGTTAATGGTTGCATACAGAGTTGATATACATCATGGGTGGGAGATGGGAGGTGTGTGTGGGGGGGGGGGTTATAAGAGCAGCTGAAATTCCCATAAAAGTTATAAAAGATTTTTATGGCTCTGCTTTGCTGCTTTTGCGGTCTGAGGGTGCTGGTATATTATTATGTCCATACAGGATGTTTGCAATACAGCATGTTTCATTGCTTGGACTTAAATGTCATATTTTAGCTTTTAAATGTTTTTTTTTTTTTTTTAAATATGGCATCCATTCTTGGAGTGAATATACGTTTGACAATAAGTGAGCCAAGAAGAGTTGTTTATGTGAGAGAGCTGAAACTGTATGCCTTATTGCTTGAAGTGACATGCTCAGATAGTTAAAACCTTATTGCAGATTTCTGGTGGGTAAATCCTACAGTCAGAGGTGGTGAGGACAGTCTGACCACACTGCTGGCAGACAGCCAGGCAGCTATTGAAGGGAACATGATGATCCTGTTAATTATAAAGGTGACATAACACAAGTGAACCTGATTCTGCAAACCCACACGGATGTTGTCAAACGGCTGAGTAATCTTCTGAGCAATCAGTTATAGGAAGAAAGTAGGTTTCACACACTCTCGAGGACATTTAGTACATTTTATTAAAAAGCAGAACATAGTAGAGAATGAGATGAGATCAATAATACAACCACCTACCTGAAGCTGTTAACAGTAAATACATGGATCACTTTTTAAAAGTCAAGGCAGTTGACTCTAGCAGATATTTGTTTGTTTTCCCAAACCCTCGTCTGGACTGCGGTGTCCTGGTAGCTTTGTTGGCACTTCCCCCTCGTCTTGTGTGCATAAGTGGAGGTCAAAAATGAACTCAGCTGACCTGAGCTGAACCGAAATGCTTGAATAGATTTCTATATTGACACATGGCCTGAGATGCTGTCTTCCTTCCTGAAACACCATGAACATCTTGTTTCTGTTCTAGTGAAAGCAGAAACCTCATAGGAAACAGGAAAAATGAGGCGCTTAAATAAACTGCTCGTAGGTGTTTAAATTAAATGTAATAAAAATATTTATATAGATTCATCACTCTGATTTTTGAGCTTTAGAGCCTCTCACTGCTCTGAGTGAGAAAGATTAGCTCAGTATTCACTAAAAAGTCTTATAATCTTTGTTAAAATAAACCAATAAACAGTAGGGCTTCTTGATAATTGGATAACACATTTACTATATATTGTATGGAATACTAAAATCCGTCAAGCATTTGCAAGAATACGTCTGTCTGAATGAGTGTCTTGGTGTAACCAGAAGCACGCGGGTGAGTTCATTCAGGGATACAGGCTGCACAGTCATCAGGAAGTGAAACAGAACAGAATGTGCTGTACTAATCTGATTGAAAAACACTGCCCTGAGTGGAGGCACGAAAAAAAAAAAAGATGTTTCATTTAAACAGCTAAAAGGAGAATCCTATGGCAGCAGGGGGGTATGTACAAAGAAAACAAGCTGGGCTTAACTCTTCATTTGGTGATATAAAAGACAAGTGGTGAGGATAAGGTTAGAGAAACACTCGCTCACACACAAACATGCACACTGCATCTAAAATAAAGCTGAGCAACATAATGCTCTTTGTTTGTGTTCTAGGCATCCGTGTTACGTACATGGGAGTAATCTCCTGAGTGATCCCTTTTATCCCTGAACTTTTGCCCCCTGAAGCAAGAGTCCTATGCTGCTGTATCTGCCAAGGACCCTAAATAAATGATTCCTTGCTGCGGCTGATGAAGACAAACACAGGAACAGTGACAAAAAGTTATTTTTTCATTTCAACTTGAACCTTAAGTGACTGTATTTCTTTATCTTGTTGTATATCATTAGATAGTCATAATGGCTTCTTCAGAATTAGTTATCATCTTATGATATTAATCATATTGTAAAGATAGTTTACTGAAGTTAAAGTCACAATACAACAAGTACAGATGTATTATGTACTTAAAGTGTTACAGTACCTTATTATACATTTTAGTATTTGATTATTATTGTGTGGAGTTAATTTCAAACTCTGAATAGGTACTGATGGGTAGTCTAATCTATAACAATGCTAATAAGTTAAGTTTTGTATAGCTTTTAAAAAAAGGCAATATTATTTTAAGTATGAAGTGACTGAGTATTCAAGTAAAGTACAAGTGCACTACAAATATAGAAAAACGTACTTATTCCACCAACTGTGGTGAAACCACACACACACACACACACACACATATACATATTTGGAAAGGTAAAAAGGCTAGCTGAGGGTTTTTTTTAGACATAAAATATCTGTATTTATTTATGAAGATGATTTCTATCCCCGTCCACTATCGTAGGAGTTTGGTTGTTTAGTAGCCTCAGCAGTGGATTTCTCTCATGCATGAACACAGTATGAATAAAAAAGTGCAAGACTTCCAGATGTGCGGCTCATTTTGTTTTGATGCTTTTATGTTTGGTCTCTGACATTTTGTCAGTTTATATTCTGGTCCTAAAAGAAACAATATTTCATTTAACTGCACTTTGTTACAAATAAAAAGACAAAGAAACATAAACCTAATGTTCTGTTTGGAGACCCTCTCAAACAATGTCATCACTAATTGTACCAGCTTGTATTATATGATGTATTATATTTGGATATCTACAGAGACATGCCTACACCTCTCTAAAACAGTTTCAACAAAAGCTGAACATTTCAACCTTCATGAAAGTAGGACTTATTGCGAAATTGTTGTTTAAGACTGCATTAGTTTTAGTTAGGTATACTTAATAAACTGGCAACTGAGTGTATGTGTTCATGCTTAGCCCATGTAACACAGAAAACACTTATTTGGTGTAATGAAAATGCTTCATGGTCATTTCCACATTTCATCACATTCATCCAATGTGTAAACACAGTTTGTGGCCACAGGAAAAGTTACAATTTAAATAATTTTGGAATGTAAAGGGTTTGTAAATATATATAGTTTAAGGTTAGGAAGGAAGTTATTATTTTTACACATGCAGCAGGATCCCAAACAATTAGGAAGTTAAGCCAACTTCAACAAAACACAACAGCCAAAGTTGAAACTGAGACAACTCTCATTCATGGGGTAGCCCTTCTACTAAAACCTCTGCTGCTAATGAGGGTTATTATTCTTCATTAAATTATCTGGCACTAGTTACAAGGAGGTCAAGTACATAGCAATTTCACATGTCATGTCAGGCAATCATTAATCAAACTTTTAATTATGAGTAAATAGCTAATGTGACTGCTCACAGTAAGGGTCCCTATCCAAACATCTTAGGGAGTGACACTTCTAAGCAATTACTACAAACAAAACGTGATATAATAGTTCGGTTCACTAAAGAGGATGCTTCAAAACAAAGTCAGCTGCACCTGACTTCAAACTGTATTAGATTAAAGACCAGTGTGGTGACATAACATAGTAATTAACAGGTGAAACACATAAATCACTGTCAGTGTATGCTAATTTCCACTTCCAATACGGAGTAAAGAGAGATTAAATAAGCATTTTTCCTTGTCTTATGTTTCATTTTGCAATGTGAGGAGCAAGAGATTAGATTCAGGGTCAGAAAAATACAAAGACTTCTGTTAATTCACACCTCTTCCCCTGCTCAACATTACTTCTTGAATGTGTCTCCATGCAGGAAGTGTAGTATCTAACCACCCACCTGAACACTTACAAGGGGTCGTTTGTGGTGTTTTCTCCTGTTGAGCAATAACACTACTGCTCTGTTCATTTACTTCCCTACACAGTAATCACTAAATGGCAGGCTGTAACTGCTTTCTGTTTTTAAGGTCAAACTGCATGAATTTTGTATTTCCTGTCAACATGAAAGTAACAACTAAATGATATACTGTCTGTTTCTGCACTAGCAATGCATTTGATGTAACATGACATACATTTGGCTCACTATTTAGGCGAAGGATTGTTTCTCGTACATAATAATTGGATATTTGCAGTCAAATTTAGTAAGTAAAACCTCTTGAAAATAAGTGAATGTACTAATCCAGCAATGTAAAACCATCCACCAAGTAAAGGTTCTGCATATAAAACCAATTACAAAAAGTATAACAGTATTTTTAGCTAAATGTAACTAAAGTATTAAAAGTAGAACTTGTTTTGCAGCAAATCAGCTACTAGTGATTGATATGATAAAGAACATTATTAATACTGAAGGTGAAGTTTTATATACAGTTAGGTAGTTCACAAACAGACAGACAGTTTGGTGGATAGAACAGTTATAGGTTCCTGGGTCTCAGCATCACAGCTAGAGCATCTCCGCCCTGATAAAGAAAGCACAGAAATTGCTGTTTTTCTCAAGGATACTTCAGAAAGCAAATTTTTGTGCCAGATTCTAGTTTACTTTACAGAGGAGTGATAGAAAGCATCCTGACTAAAAACAGCACAAATTGGCATCATGGCATGTGCAGGGCCCAGTACAGGAGGACTCCTTTAAGTAATTAAAACCGATCAGAAGATCATTGGTACTCAGTTACCCAGCATCAGTGGTATTTGTGAGGTGTCTGTGCAGATCCCCAAGGATACTTAAGCTCCCACTCCAGCCACAGCCTGTTCACCTTGCTGCTGTCTGGTAAGCGATACAGAAGTATCGACTGCTGTACCACCAGACTACAGAGCCACTTGTCTCCTCAGGCTGCGAGACGCCTCAATTCATCCTCCGCACTGCACCTTACATAATAGCAAATAAATATACAAAATAAATAATCATCCATTTATATAATGTTTGTTTTGTGAGTTGCATAAAGGAATTACTCAAACATTTTTTGAATGACACAATGTGGAATGTAAGATTATTAAGAGAACCGCTAACACATCTGAAACATGACTCAACATTTACTCAAGTACTGCGTTAAGAGGCGGTATTAGAGTAAATGTTGGGGTAGCGTTCCACCACTGATACAGCTTTTGTGCTCTTTTTCAAACTAAATGTGTTTTCTGTTTGTTTTCAATTGTCTCTGTGTTGCTGTTGAACAGATTATTTTTCATTCAGGACATTTGGTTATAGTAATAAAGCAATATGTTGCCATTTTGTGTATTAAAACATGATCTTGACATGGAACAAGAGTGACTGACTTTTAATGGAGCGATGCCACATGCTATCACGCAGTGGAAAACTAGCATTTGCTGAAAAAGATCACGCCCAGCTTGAAGGACACAGAGAAGATAAGAGAAACTGTTCATCCCTGGAACATAGACAAGGTTTCAAATGAAAGTCATCAATGAGAGGAGAAAGAAAATACTCAAAGATAGAGGATGGAATTTGCCGACAAAACTACATTTCTGTGGCACTATCATTGTAAAGTGTACCTTCAATACAGTCAGAGTCTAGTCTCAGCTTTTCAGCTTCTATCCCAAGATTTATTTTACTATAATTGATTGTTTATTATTCATAGAGGGGGTTTGTATTTTGTTTTCATCTTTCTTCTTCTTCTTCTTTCTTCTGTTTTGTGGTTTACATAACAATACAATTTCCCATTGGGTTTAACTTAGTATTCCAGAGAAAATGTGGCTGGAAAACTGAAGCAGCTCACTAACAGACATGGTGTTAGTTGAATGATTATTACAGCCCATGCAGGATTAGATGGACTATAAATACAAAGGCCTACTCTCCAGTGTGTACAATGGCTTAGATTCTCTTTATTAAAAAGAAAACTAAAAATGTACACCTGCAGAAAGTAATTCTTACGACAACAGATTATAATATAGTGGGCTGCCAGTTTCTCTATTTTGAGGAAGATTTAACAATATTTAAGTGTAAAATTTGTACTGTTGAGTACCCTATAATTGAAAAAGATTGCTAGTGGAGTTGCTGCAATAGGCAATTTCCAGACTTTATACACACTTCAGGAGGTGTTGTTGTGGCACTCATTTTGAAGAATAAACTAAAAAACGTGTTTAAATGTATTAATTGATTGGGAAGAAGCTGTCTGTGAAAATCCCTCTCTTAGAAGCGCAGGTTAAAATGTTCAGTTTTAACAAGGTTGGCTATGAGAATATGACACACTGCATTGAGTGCGTTGACCCAGACGGTCCACTCCGGTGCAGTAGATGGCGGTGTGTGAATTTAGCCGCCAATACCCATAAAACAAACAAGAAAGGTGAAGTGTTGTGTTTCCGCAGAGCCAACCGGTGCTCACAACAACCGAAACGAGCGGCGTGAAATCCGCTGCTAGCATTTGTGTCGACCTGCAGCTACAAAAAAAAAAAAAAAAACGGTGAGCAACTTTCTCGAACATATTGATCTGCCAGCTTCCACCCAACGCACTGTGTCGTGCACTGCCGGTTGCTATGCCGACGGGCTCAGAGGGTGACGTTGTGTCGTGTTAAAGCGTTAAACTCGAGTTAGCCACGTTAGCTGCCACATCCTGCTACAGCTAACATCCTTTAGCGTCCCCATGGCTGTTTGCAGGGTCGGCAACGTTTTAGTGTGTTTGGGGACACAAAAGCATCAGTATTGTGTAGTTATTCTGTAAATCAGCTAAATGTGTGTCCTAAAACTAACAAAGCGTCAATATAATTTCCAAACTCATCCGGGTTGCTGTTGCGCACAAGCTAACGAATAAGTTGCTAGCTGGCGAAATAGCGTTAGCTTGATAATGTGCTGACAATAAAGTAGATAGATAGATATTCCTTAAATATAGATAGATTGTGTGCTGACAATAAAGTAGATTGACATGCGGTCAATACACAGTCGGTCCACTGTGAGTAATGTTTGTAATGTCGGGACTTTAAACACCGTCGACCTGTAACGTTATTTGTGATCCGAGCAGCTCTCCTGGGTTTGAGGGAAGAGGACAAGCTGTCGATGTTAAATTGACTCTGATAAAAAGTTTAATTCTGGCATTTGTTTTACAAACGCATCAACAGGCTGTAACTGTCTTTCTTTATCTTTCAGGCACACCTGATTGTAAGACTCCATCAAGAACACATTTGAAATGGGAGGTAAGTTACTTTCTGAAGTTTTCCCTCCCGTTCAAACGCTACCGGGTGTCCTCCAGTCACAGTTTGACACAGTGTAGTCTCATTATGAGTATATATTTATGTAGGCATGGGACAAAATGAAAATACACGACTATCCTGTCCGTCAGGTTTAACTTTATTTATGGGGGAAACGATGACGGGCTTAAGATTTTGGAAAGATGTGTGCTCCCCCTTGTGACAATTACAAAAATAAAACAGGACATTACGCGAGCTCGACAAATCTTCTGAGTCATTCATGTGAGGATACTTAAGATCATCCCGATAATATCAATGATAATGATATATTTGAGTGGTTTTTTTTTTTAATTTATAAAAATATGCACTAATATTGTATATTATACCATCCCTAGTTCAGTGGTTCTCAGACTTTTTTTATTAATGTGCTCCCTTTGAAATATTTATTCAGTCAAGTACACACTGACCAGCGCAAAATGTCTTTATTAGGGAAAAAGCAGATTATTACGAGGTACAATACAGCGCAGCGCCATCAGTATCTGATTTGTTAAGAAACACACTGAAATGCTTTCAAATTCATGGCATACCATTTTTTGTAATCGTGCATTAAAACTAATGTGGCATTGTAGTTGCACTGAACTGCGTCTTTTTGATAAGTTGCAATTACAATTTAAATGTTTAATGGACACTGTAGTGATCAAAGTGCAGTTGACAGTCTACAGCAGATAATGATTGCATTGAAAATAGGAATATTGAATGTAAAATGTGTTTTTATTTTATTTTTTTATACTTATTGTATAATTATTCTAGGAATTATGCATGGCTAATATTGTTTAAATTAACATAATAAAAAACATGTTATGTACCCCTGTAGTAGCCCAAAGTACCCCCAAGGGTACATGCACACCCATTTGAGAAACAGTTGTTTAGTTGAAGAAGAAAAAAAGTCACACTAACTGAATATATGCGAGGTGGCCGGCCTCTGCCTCACATCACCAGGAAACGAGCCTGGGAACCCGACCAATCTGCTGAGCTCATGTTTCATTAGCCCTGCGAATTTGCATTTTCAAATTTGTCTGGCAGGCTAAGAATCCACGATATTTGAATCATATCAGTTACTGCTTGGTCAGTGGGCAGTCACTCAGTAATACTGAAAGTGTTCACAAGAGAGTTATGCTGTTGCCTTCAGTGGGTGTGGTAACTTAGGAGCTGGCAAGTAGTACTTGTATATTTGTTGGTGATATTTAAATGTTCGCAGCATAATAGTGTTTTTACTTAAGCTATGCATGTGCTAACAATAGTGGATTGTGGGGCATTATTTATTAAATATGGAATATGTGAGCGAGGCTAAAACACTACTGCAATAAATGCTGAGCCATGTCAGATGGACTTCCTGTATGCATTAGATTATTTTCACACAATGATTACATTAGTGGCTGCATCACTACTATCATCTGTGAGGAGCACTAGTAGCTCGTATTATAAATATAAGATAGTCTCTCATATTCTAATTAGGGATGGTATTGTGAATAAAATATTCTGTGGCAGTATTTGTACGTTTTTGTTGTGAATTTACACATAATATGCAATTGATAAGATAAATTATAGATAAAAATTCAGGCAAGCAATTTAAGTAGAAGTCCTGTAAATCAATTGTTGTCATTGAGAAGCCCTGTTACATAATTTGCAGTGTTATACAACCAGGGATAATTAAAGTATAGCTACCTTAGTATCAACATTATGGCTAAATCTCAGTTGACAGATTGTCAGAGATTGTTATCATATCATCTGTGAGTAACTTGATGGCAGGCCAAAATGAAACCCATCTGTTGTCTGGTTAAAGTGCTCTCTTCAAGCTGGTGTCTGTACTCAGCCAATGATTATTTTTGAGGGATTCGCCTCCACTCTATAACAAAGATGTAAAATCTCTGTTTTTATAGGTCCAGCAGATACATGTTCCAGTGTCAAGAGTCGCATTCTTTCTGTCAGATGAATCTTATCAGCTTCATAGTTTTGAACAAAGACCTTTTGCTTTTTGGATTAAATAGGTTGTGAAAAATAAGGTGTGGCCAGTTTAGTAGGCCACATCTGTTGTTTTAATGTGTCAGATGCATATTTAATCAACATTTAAGTAAATATAAGTATCAGATCGGACTTTGACTCTGCAGATAACCCAATGTTGATGGACTCAGATCAGGATCAGGGCCAAACAAAAACCTGATTGGGACATCCCTATTAAAAAAATCTCACCAAAACCACAGTAATGATTCAAAAGAAGGTAAATGTTGGTCATTTAGATTATTGTTTGGGAAATGTTGAGGGACACTGTACGTTGAGCTTACAGATGTTTAATGGATGATGCATAAGTAACATTCATCATATTCTTCCATATTTGTGTCTTTCTTTCAGATCCTGCTCCTAATAGAGACTGTCCCCTGGACTGCAAGGTTTACGTTGGAAATTTAGGAAACAATGGAAACAAGACAGAGTTAGAAAGAGCTTTTGGGTACTATGGTCCTTTAAGAAGTGTTTGGGTTGCCAGGAATCCCCCAGGCTTTGCTTTTGTAGAGTTTGAAGATCCCAGAGATGCAGCCGATGCTGTGAGAGAACTGGATGGAAGGTAACTCCTTCAGAACATTTTTTTAGTAGTTGTTTTTGATGTTCTTGTTGTTTTGCACTTCTCTTATTTATGTGATGCCCTGTTGTTTAGAAACATGTGTGGCTGTCGAGTGCGTGTCGAGTTATCCACCGGGGAAAAGCGCTCTAGGAGCCGTGGCCCTCCTCCGTCCTGGAATAGACGCCCTCGCGAAGATTTGAGCAGACGTAGTCCTCCAGGCAGACGCAAGTATGTATTTCCTACTTGAAGATTAATTTTACTGTTTTTATTTACATTGGCAGTGTTTTTTAAAAGTAAAAATGACAACAGATTTACATTCCCCACACACTGTAAGCATTAGTTTATTTACTGCTTCCAAATATTGGTTAGTTTGGCAAAGCCATTTGTATCTAACAACCTCCCGCACAGGCAAAAAAAAAACTTTAAAATCTTTATAACTCAGACCTGTTAAAGCTTTGTCAACCTTTAAACCAAAGCCTAGTAGGAGGCAAAGTTTCCCATTGGTCAAACAAAACCCTTATAAGCACACATACAAACTGAGTTCATCAATAGCTAATCTGTGGATCTGGCTGCTTTAGGATTTGATACATTGATGTCAGTCCTTTTCATCTAATCTAGTTATTCTTACATGAACTGGAGTGACTTATTTCCTTTCTTTCAAGGGTATTTGTTATCAGCCAAGTCTAATGGCAGCATATGTCAGCACTTGACTATTTATGAACTCATTAAACGGTGTGTCTGTAAAAAGACCAAGCTCTACCTGAGTGATATTGCTTTATGGGGACATCTTAAGAGGCACAGTTAGCACTTCATCATCCATCAAACATTTTTATAGGTACTTTCTAGAACTACCATCTCCAGGTGTAAACTTTGTTTTCTTTCTGAGTTCAGTTGCCATCTATTAATAAAACTGAACCCCGTTGCAGAGTCACCACCACGCTTCTCACCATCTGAATCAGTCAACTAGTCTTCTTTCAGCATCATGTGACTGCTGACCAGCGAGCCCCAATCAGCTTGGCTGGTGTTGTCACATGACCCAGGCGCACCGCCAGTCGTCAGGTTCCACCAACCTTTTGGTTCCTGAGCATGCAGTTCCCAGCATCCTCCTCTTCTTCCTCCAACCTTAACCCAATCGACAGCGGTCCACTTCACATTATCAACCAGTCAGCGTCTTTACTCTCTCTATTCTCCACACAACGGGAACAGCCCTTGGCTTACATCCCTTCCCATCCTTCCCCCCCAAAAAGGCAGGGACAATCTACAACTACCCCTTCCAACCAGCCACCAAGCAACTTCATATCTCCAACATTTGCATCATGTGGCAAATCCTCTCTGCAATTCGACCTCCCTCACCATCAGTCTGGCTTCCTTGCGTCATTTCTATCTTGTCCAAATCCCCCAAAATAGTAAGTTGCTTTTATCCTGCTCTTTGTAGTTTTTATGCTTAATCTAGCTTTCAAAGCTGCTTGACAGTTTTCCCTCAGCAGTTATGTAATTAAGAGCAATTTCAGTGCAGACCTGCAAAAATCTAAAGATCAAAAGTTGTGGTCAAGGAACTTTACCGTCAGTCTTTTAATTTTCATTTGCAAAAATGAACTACCTTTATCTGATGTTCACAGAGTAATTGGGCTGCTGAGTGCATTTTCATGGCTCGACATTAAACCATCTAGAGTTTAATACTGTCCTTTTCCATTTTCAAAATATCCTTTCACCTCGAGTCCACCGCTTTCCAAATTAAATATTTTATCTAAAAATTCAGTGTTATTAAGGTTGTATTGCAGCAAATCTTTAGAGCCAAGACATGTAGGTTAATAATGTTTGTATGCTTCAGTCACAAGACCGTTGAGTGGTTCACGGTTCACGGTTCACCTACGTCCAGGTGGCTTTGAACTAGAAGTGAAGGCAACCACAGTCTCCGTCTCTGATCAGGTCCACGGGTATATCGCAGTTTACTTTTAGCAGGGACTTTGTGTAAATCATTTTGCAGAAAAATGTTATAGCAGCATTGTTTAGAATAATTTTGCCCACTTGTCATAATTGTTAAATTGTCACATATTTTACTTGGTGTTTGTCCCAGGCGAGTCTTAATGTCGAGCCCTGATTTTGTTCTCCATGATTGGTTTCCTCTTAATGAGTTGATCTTGATGCAGTTCATGGATGCAGATGATCCTTCTATTAACAGACAAGGAACTACGTGTAACCACGTTTCCACGTGTAACCCATGTCTCTTTAAGGATCACGAATACCAAAGGTTGCATTAGTAATAGGAAGGGTTATATTCTCTTTCCCTAATGTTTTTTGTTTTATTTCTTTAACTTCACTTACGCCATAGATCACCGAAGAGGAGGAGCCTGAGCCGCAGTCGCAGCAGGTAAGCTTGTAACAACTGTTCTTTTTATTTAAACGGTGCATTATACTATATACTATATAATTGATGTTAACCGTTTTTGGTTCGATTCACCAGGTCTGTTTCAAGAGACAGACGCAGATATCGGTCTCTCTCCAGAGACAAGAATCATAAGCGCTCAAGATCTTTCTCACGGTCCAGGAGGTACGTTTAAGTATCAGTGATTATTACCAAACTGTATTTTAACGTGTAATATTGCCATGTTGTCATTTTGCTCTTATTCACTAGTTTGTTTATTTTACAGTCATTCCCCGTCTACTGAGAGGAAATGAAGACCTTAAATGATGGTTCATCTGCTGGATCCTGCTATGGTTGTGAAAATACAAATTTTTATAGTAAGGTTTTGTTTTTAGATTGTTTGCCAGCTCAAGACAGCCTAAGGTTGGCCACGTTACATATTGTGTAATAGCAGTCTGGTGAATTAACAACAAAGGACCTGAGTGTTTTTCTCCTTTTGTTGGTTCTCATGGCAAGATTTACCCATTTTACTGAAAAGGTTTTTTTTCCTCTTTGAATTTACGCTATAAAGCATTCACCAATTCTTACCCTGCATGTTTTAAAATGGAATACTGGATTTATTTTTACAGAACCATCCTGCTTTTTTTAACCTTTGAATTAAAGTTCATGTCTTTGTTTGTTTTTCTTTGGGTTTTTTTTTTTTTTTTAATTCTTGTTGACTCTTAACTTGCTGGCAATGGCTTACTGTGAGCTGCACCACCAGGCATACTTTACACCAGTGACAGAAAGCAGACTGGTAACAAATGTTGTAAATACTGGTGCTGTTATTTGCAGGCTATCCTTGAAGCCTAAAATGTCATCTGTAATTCTGTACTTTACCTATGTCACTTTTGCAAAGGAAGGCATTTACTCTATTCAACTTTGCTTGATTCTCTGAGCTCTGACAGTTTGTGCTGATGCAGTTAAACAACTTGTTCAATAAATGTTTTTCCAAGGTGACATTATCTCCTCCTCCTGCTTTTTGAATAGTTCTATACACCAATAAGATTTATATTATATAAAAACGTAGATATGGAAAATTAAGCTTGACTCAATTCAGGAAGTACAGAATGTATTTTCTGTTAGCTGATGGAGGCTGCAAGTGTAACCCACACAGGAAGCTATCAGTCATAGTTGCAGTAAAGGAACAACCCCCCCATGTGTGAAGTGTAACTAACGATCAGTAACGGTTGATGACATTACGAAGAAGCTTGTGTTGTGAGACGACAGAGGTGCCAGATTTGGGTGGTAAGTACGTATGGCGTCGTAACAATTTTGTAGAAGGCCTAAAATCATTAATCAAAAGTATTTTTTGCTCAGACTCATTTTATTTCCTGATTTAATGTAATGTTTAGACTTACCTTGAGAGTGACTTAGCAGTATAGTAGAAGCAGTATCAATAGAAGTGTCAAAATCCGGTTGCATCCTGCTGCTTTGTGTTTGTGTGTTTTTGGAGAACAAAATCATTATTTTGATTGTTTCCCAGCAGTTAATGGAGATTAGTACAGATTTTTTTGAGATTCAGTTGATGTTATCTGATGTTAATGGGTGCTAGATTTAAATTTGATTTGCTGTCTCATGAGTGTCTCATGCTTTAGGAGAGAAGATAAAAAGCCATGTCTGCTCAAAATGCGAAGAAAAAAAGAATTGGTTCACGTCGGAAACCAAACCAAAATAAAACATCTGAGGCAGATGACTTCCACATAACGGATAGTGCCTCCGTAGCACATGACATACCAGAAGAAAATAGAGAATCATTAAATGCATTGGTTAATCCTGACCAATTGCAATCTGAAATTCAAAATCCACCTTCACCAGAGCTCACAGGGAACAGAAAAAAACTGGGTGCTAGTCGAAGAAATCGAGGAGGATGGCATGTCAGGGACTCAGCAACTGAGTCATTCCACCAACCTAGAGAGGAAGTTGATGAGGAGACCTGGAGTAGTGAAACCCCCAAAACAACAGTGACAACAACGTCACTGGCAATACAACCAGAGAGACAGGAAGAATTAAGTGTAGGGAGTGAGCAGGATATTGTGTCTGCAATACACAGCTCTTTGTATTCAGCCATTATGCCTGGTTATTCTTCGGAGGTTCAAAAATCTGCTTCAACAAACTGTCCAGAGCCTGGCCTGCAAAGTTTAATTCCCGTAAGTGAAAATCTGCAACCAGAACAAGATGAAGAGACAGACTACAAAGTAGTGTCTGACTCTTGTAAATTAGTGGAAAGCATGCTGGGAGGAACTAACGCATCTGACACTCTTCAGGGTGAGAAAGTCAAACAAAATGCACATCTTGTTGCCATCTCTCAGTTAACTAGTTCAAGTCTACTTTCATGTCCCACAGTAGATCAACAGCTAATCGACCAATCAAATTCCATGGAGAAGGCAGAAGAAGAACTTCTCAATGTGTACTCTGTAACAGAAAAAGAAAGCAAAGAAAGAGATGAGGAAACAGAATTGTTAAGGCAGTATGGAAATTTTCAGGGCAGCTATTTAGTGAGTGAGTCTCATTTAACATCAGTAATACAGTTTTCTACCACACCAGAGATAACCACAGATAAAAGCAGCCCCGGAGAGAATACTGAACTTGAATACAGTGTTGAGCAAGACATATTTTCATCACAAAAAGATGAGTTGCCTAAACATGAGGTACAAAATCAACATTTCATCTTATCTGAAGTCAGAGGTGCTTATTATTCAGAGGATGCTGTAAACAAAGTGCATGAACAGGACTGTAATCCATCACAAATGCATGAAATCGATCAATCCTCTGAAAGTGCGACACATGATGCCACAGAAAATTCAGAAATAGTTTCTGTAAACCTGATAGACCAAGCTGAGTTGATTGTGAAAAGTAATGATGATTCTGTAACCAAGCAGGAAGATTCAGATCCTG